TGACTTCAGGGCTCCAGGAGGATCACAGCCCTCTCATAGAATTTGAGATTCTCTCAGGGCTAAGACCAAGACCTTCTCTGGGTGGGCCGTATTTATTTGGTTATCAGAAGAAGGGAGGGGAGTACTCAAGAAGGGTGGAATCATTCAAGGACTTCTCCAAGTGAGGTATTAAATTATCCTTAATAAGGATTAAGTTAATCCACCCAGGAGTGAGATGACTGAGGCTACAGTCTTTATCTAGTTGAGATCTGATCCAGGAGTCCTTGGCTGTGATCTTGTCTTACCCTTAGAGGCTTTCTGGCTTCATCCACCACTACAGGTTTAGTGGGGATTAGTGACTCACAGAGGTTCACTGACTCTGAGTCCACTGCCCACCTCCAGACAAGGAGCCTAGGCCTTGGACAGACTCACAAGTGAGCATGAACAGTCAATTGGTTAATTTAAGTCCTGCTCAGGTCTGCTTCATAGTGGTCTCCATCACCACTACACCCGCTAAAGTGTTAATTCTAAATGTGATGAGGTGGTGAGTCCTCTCTGAAGGTAAAGGAGTCCCGCTGTCTGCCTCGGTAAGATCAGGTAATCAAATACAGCTGGCAGGAGAAATTTCCTGAAGGACGACAATCCTTGTGTGAACAGGAAGCAGCCAGCTAGCCTGAGGGCAATCTGAGGGTACCACCTGAAGATGACACTCGGGCAAACACAAGGGTGACACTTGAGTGGCACGGACAGTGACACCTGAGAGCCAGAGTGTGACACCTGAGTTAGCAAGTGCTATTGTTTCAAGTCAATGAATATTTATGAGGGTGACTGCGTCAGAGATCTATAATTTATACCAACTCTCCACTGTGATCTCATCTGTCTTCCTACTTGCACAAAACGTAAGTATTAAAGACAGGGCTATCAGTGCTGATAAAATAATACGTTAACTAACAAGGAGCTGTTTTTTGCTTAAGAACAACACTCCAGGACAGGACAGTGCCATAAAATCTCCTAGGACACAGGTGGACAAACAGACCGCCCATTAGCACAGTAATGGCTATGGCCAGGAAAAAGGATTTCTTCATAGTGTTGTTGATTAAATGGGTGGTGTTTGCACATATCGGGAGACAGGGAGTGCCCGTTATTTACTGTTAGAACACAGTGAGAAGAAAGGCAGGAAAGACCAGGTGTGGAACCAGCTAGAAAAGGTTTAGTGTAGGTGCTTGCTGAAGGCATTTCCACAATGCCAAACCTGACTGTCTTCCCTGGCATCTTGAGCTTGGGCAAAGGCTGACACTCTTCCCTGCAAGGGGTACTTTAGATAAGCCTGACCAATCCCCAGCCTGTGCTGGTCTTCTCCCTTTCACTTCAGCCAGGCTTGCTGGACGTGCCAGAACACGAGTGCCGCAGTGGGCTGTTTGCATCACTGAAAGTTCTCAAGGTTCGCCATCATGTGCCAGAAGGATGACGATACTGGCTGCATACTAGAATCAGCCGGGGTCTTCTAAAACATGACCCACCCTCGAGTGTAAAATGGTTCAGTTACTTCACAAAGCAACACAACCGTTCTTCAAAAAGTACCTCCGCAATTTCACTCTTAGGGACATACCAAGAAAATGGAAAGCATGTCCACCTAAGAACTTTTGTGTATGAGTGTTCACTGCAACATTCTTCTTGGCTAAAGGTGGGAATGCAGATGTCCACCAGCTGATCAATGGATAAATAAAATGCAGTATTACCTACACAGTGGGACACAGATCAGCCATAATAAGAAATGAAGTACTACCGATGCACGGTACAGTGACATGAAACTTCAAAATATGCTAAGTGAAAGAACCCAAAAGATCACATATTATACATTTCTGTTCATATGCTATGGCCAGACTAGGCAAATGCATAGACAGACATTAGTGGCTGCCATGCACTTGGCAGGAAGAGCAGGGAGTGACGGTAACTGGGCACAAGTTTCATGTTGGGGTGATAAAAATTTTCAGGAATTAGTGGCAATGATTGCACAACTTTATCAATATACTAAAAATTGCTGAGTTCTTAAAAATTACTAAATATAATAAAAATTACTGAATTCTTTAAAAGGGTGAATATCAGAGTATGTGCATGTTATGGCTTATGTCTAGATGTCCCCCAAAGCCTCACGCAGTCACGGGTGGGGCTTTGTCAGAGGTGGTTGGATCTAGAGCATGTGATGCCGGTTGATTCATGGTGCAGTGCTCGGATCGGGGGCACTGGGATGAAGGGTGTGCGTGACACCCGCCCTAAGTAGCTTGGATAAGATATGAGGGAGAGAGAGCGCTGCGGCCACCCCTTGCTGCTTTGCTACCGTCTGTCCGCCGTGAACTATTTCCCCTCTGCGATGCCGAGCCGCCCCGCCTTGGAGCCCGCTGACTGTGGACGGGAACTGCACCCTGTGAGCCGAAGAATCCCTCCTTAGCTGTGGGCGCCGGGGGTCTGTCTCAGCACCAGAGAAGAGTAGCCAGGACTGCAAACACCTCAATGAGAATATTACATTTAAAACTGCACTGATCCATACACTTTGAGAACCTGAATTTTACGGTATATGAGCTATATTTCAATTTAAAATAATTATAATATACATGCCTGGGCCCCACCCTGAGGAGATTCCAATTTAATTACCTGGGAAAGATTTAAACGCTGTGATGAAACTGGAAAGATGGGCACAGAATGAGACCTCACGTTTAAGACACAAATAACTGACAAAAAGACTTAAATCCAGAACACAAAAATGGGTCAGGAATGACAGACAACCCCCAAAAGAGAAAGACCCAAACTGACATTCCTTAAAGAGAAAAAACAAAAATTAAAAATATAGGGGCTAGGGACATAGCTCAGTGGTAGAATGCCTGAGTTCAATTCCTAGAGCCCAAGATATTCACTTTTTATTTTGTTTTTTGTAGTACTGGGCTTCAAACCCAGAGTCTTATACATGGTAGGCAAGTGCCCTACTACTGAACTACATCTCTAGTTTACTCCAATTTCATTCATAATTAGAGAAATATAAATTAAAACCATGATGAGCTGGGCATGGTAGTGCATGCCTGTAATCCTAGCACTTGGGAGGCTGAGGCAGGAGGACTGTCACAAGTTTAAGGCCAGCCTGGGCTATGTAGTGAGTTCAAGACTAGCTTGGACTAGATAGAGAAACCCTGTCTCAAAAGAACCCAAAAAACCAAAAACCAAAAACCCCATAATGATACGAGGACAAACACTTCCAAATTGGCAAAAATTGAAAAATCTATCAATATAAAGTATTGTCATGCCAGAGAGCAATCAGATTGCTCATATACTGCTTGTGGAAATTATACCTCTTTGGAGAACATTGTGGTATCATTTATTGAAGTTGAAGATATGTGTGTCCTCTGACCCAACCATTTCACAACTAGAGAATCCCTGTGCTTTGTACTAGAACACACTCCCAGCTGCATTATTCGGAACAGACCCAAATCAGAAACAGCCCCAACTGTTCATTGGTAGGAGGATGGGTAAGTAGACTGTGGTTTATTCCCGCAATGGAATACTCTATAGCAAATAAAAATGAACAGAATCACTCCATATGTAAAAACATAAAAGGAACTCAGAAGCACAATGTTGAGCAAAAAACACAAGACACAAAATACATACGGTATGGTTCTATTCACATAAAGTTCAAAACAGGTGAAAAGCAAGTTGTACAGGTTAGGAAGGAGTACATAGTAAAACTACAACAAAGAACAAGTAAGTGACTACCATAAAAGTCAGGATAGGGCCGGGGATGTAGCCTGGCAAGTGCAAGGTCCTGAGTTCAATTTCTGGTACCAAAAAAAAAAAAAGTTATGACTTGAAAGTCAGGATAGTAGGGATGTGTGGTTGAGAAGTGATACAGGAAATTGTGGGGTTCTGTAATATTCTATTTCTTGATCTTAGCTGCACTTGTTTCTTCATGTTGCACATATTTAGATTTCATGTGTATTTTTTTTGCCTTTTAGAGACAGGGTCTCGCTATGCAGTTCAGGCTGGCCGTGAGCTCACACTGTAGCACAGGCTGGTCTCGAACTCACAACAATTCTGCCTCAGCCTCCCAAGTGCTAGGATTACAGGCATGTGCCACCACGCCTGGCTTCTGGCTATTTTTCACAAAAAAGGCTAAACTATTTTTTGTTAGGGATGGAAAAAAGGTCCATAAATGATCTGATGTAAAACCAAGGTTGAGGACTACTGCATTAAAAGAAAGTTCACCAGATATATATTTGTACATATGGTAAATGCTCAGAACAGGTAAAATATCTAAATATTCTACACTAGTAACAGTGGATACCTCAAGGGATACAGGGGAGGGGTTGTATACAATAACATTTATTTTCTATCTTCTTATATATTTCTGTAATGTTAAAATTTGCTCTTGTTATACTAAATAACTTTAATTAAAAATAGCAGACTTTAAAATCCTTTTTTGTGTGTGTGGTGGCAGTGCTGGGGATTAAACCCAGGGCCTTGTGCATGCAAGGTAAGAACTCGACCACTGAGCCATATCTCCAGCCCCCTTAAAATTCTTTCAGAAAGATATACCAAAAGTTAATAAAATTAGTTGCCTCAGGACAAGGGAATGGGAAGAGTATTTTCACTGTACTCCAAATTTTGAGCCCATGTGAAAGTATTTCTAAAAATTTTATTTAAAATAAGAACACTTGTGTCTAGTAGTTTTCCCCAGAGCCCAGTCCTGCAGAAAAACACACTCAGCAGCCTCTGAAACTGGCCCAGGGCATCGCTACCTTGCGTTAGCTTCTCCCACACGCCCCACCTCCCACTCGATGGTTCTGGGACTTCCACTCTGTGCAGAAACAAGCTACGCTCTCAGAAGAGGACTCATAGCTCACACATGTGAAATGGTGTGCTTGTCTTTGACCTGTGCCTAGATCTGAGTCCGTCATACTTGTCAAGTAACAAAATGAATCTTTTCCCTGGACTTGGGCAGCTGTGGGGGAGATGAGGAAGGAAGAACTGAATACCTCTAAGAGGAGCTCCACGGTATCCACCCTGAGCTCTTGCAGTCCCACTATCTGCACCACGTGCTTGCTGTCTTCTCTCGCGAAGAGCCTAAAGATGCAAAAAGGCAGTTGGTCTGACGGTGTTGCTGTAACAGACTTTGGTTTTGCCTCCCCGGAACCCATTCCACCACTCCCTCATTCAGTAACAGTTTTGTAGTTGAGCATGGTAGCAGATGCTTATAATACCCATATGCTGGGAGCCTGAGGCAGGAGGATTACAAGTTCGAGTCTAGCCTGCACACTTTAGTGACTTTGCAAGACTCTGTCAATCAATTGATTATTCAATCAATTAATTAATCAATAAATGGTGATGTAGTATAGCTTAATGCAAAGGACCTGGGTTAAATCCCCACTACCCCGAATGTAGGTATGTGGCATGCATGCACACACACACGTGCATGCGTGCACATGCACACAAAAGGAAAAGGTAACAGTTTTGCTGTTTTGGATGGATATGATTCTTGTTTTCAATTCCACCTTTCTGACCTTAGTCTAAGATTTCAGTTGTTGTCCATGATTTTTGTAACCAAATCAGCACCTTGGACTATGATTAAAACAATGAGGACAAAACCCAGACCTACACCAGTGAGTGGCATGTTCCTGGTTGTAGTGATTGGTTCAGCGGTGGATATTCACTCTCTGTTGTCCAATCAAAGTCCTGATCTCTGGTTGTTAAGTGCCTAGTGGTAAGCTGTTCTTTCTTTCTCTCTGAAGTGAAAGCATGTGGCCCTGGGAACTGTGGCAACCCCTGGCTCACAAATAAGGTAATGAATGGTTATGAACTGCCATTATCATAAGCCAAATACACTGAGGGTATATGGCGCATCTATCAAAAACTCTGAGATTACTCTCTTTCCTTAAAAAGATACCAAGTTTGGCCTGGGAGGCAGGCTGCCTGTGCCTGGGAAGCCCTGCGGCGGGGAGTGCCGGCTCTTGCGCCAGCCCCTATCCATGCAGGCACCCAGGAGGAGGGCAGTGGGCACCCGAGAAGCCGCGTGGTGGGGAGTGCCGGCCTTTGGGCGACCCCTAGCTGTGTAGGCACCCAGGAGGTGGGCAGTCGGCGCCTGGGAAGCCGCATGGCAGCGTGCGCTCACTGACTCTCAGGCCAGCTGCTGCCTTGTGATCGAGAACTATCATGGCACAGAGAAGCAATGACATAATTGGCCTGCCACATGCCGGCCACGGAGGTCGGCTTGGGGACATGCGTGAATCATCCCGACATGGAGAAACCCCTGGGAATACATGCCACACAATGGGTCCCTCTTGCCCCTGCCGTTGAGAACCAGAAAGGTCCAGAGTCAGCGGAGGAGCAGCTGCTGAACAAGGACTCGGAGAACACGAGAATACAGGCTACGCCTGGAGTTTCAGAGGTCTAGCTGACTGGGGTCATGAGAGCTGTTAGGAAGCTGGAAACTAGGAGGACCTTGCACAATACCTGGGGAGACCCCCTGGAAGCCATTCTTCTCCTGACAGTACAGGCTGCAGTGGAGGAGCGTGGAGCTCCGGAGAGGTCTGCAGCAATATTCCTGCTGCCTGTGCTGATGGTTGGGGAGAGGACACTAAGTGGTTGTGGGGTCCCAGTGTGATGGGAGGCTGGAGAGAAAAAACTACAAAAAATAGTTTTCACCCCAGATGGCTCACTTGAGATGTAAGAATTGCCTCCTCAGTATTCTATAGCCATGACGAGGAGGAGGCCAAGGAGAGAAAACAAAGAGACTGAGAAAAAGCAACTGCTTTTGCTGCAGCACTAAGAGAAACAGACCCGAAGTCTGATTCCTGGGGCCCAAAGAAGAACTCGATGACTACATTCATCTGCTACCACTGTTAAAAGCCAGGCCACCTCAAGAGGAACTGCCCTAAGAAGCCTCCATCCAAGGCCATGCCCTGGATGCAAAGGTGACCACTGGAGATTGGTCTATCCTCTGAAGCAGAGGCCCCAGAGCTCAGACCCATCCTCCAAGTTAGTCTAACAGAAATGAGGGGGCCCAGGGCATACTGTGCCTTCTCCCTCTGGCCAGACTATCATCTCCATGGAGGAGCCCCGGGTAATCATGACTATAGAGGAAAAAGAAAACAGCCTGTTGCTAGACACAGATGCAAGTCTCTCAGTACTTCTTTTCAATCCTGGCCTTGCTTCCAGCTGTTACACCTCAGTGAAAGGAGTCTCTGATGAGGTAAATATGCTATTTTTCACAACCCTTGGCTGTAACTACTTGTTAGATCTTTCTTGCGTATCTCTGTCTTCCTGAGAAACCACTTTGAAGATACCGCCATGTATTACAGCAGCCATTGATATTTTCCTACTAATCTGTCCATAACTCTGTAATGTTTGTATTGTTCCTATGCTATTTCGTAAATGGAAGTATGTTTGTTACTATGTGTTTCCTACAACCATTGAGAATAGTCAATGAATATTCAATTGGTCACTCATGTATATTTATTTTCTTTAGAAACCACTTTGAAGATACCAAAGTATAGTACAACAACCATTGATAATAACCTACCACTTTTGTCTATAACTCACTATTATTTGTCTATTTGTTTTCCTGAGGAAGTATAGTAGATAACAATATGTTAAACAACAACCACTGATAATTTCCTAACACTTTGTCCGTAATTTGGTAAGCTCCCCTATTACTATGTTATCCTTCTTTTACTCCTTAAAATAATAAAATATACCAAGTTTAAGATTGGAATTTTACTTTATTGGGAAAAAGCAAGACAAAACAAAGAAAACCCTTTCTTTTTTCTTTAGTTCATCCTTCAGCCCAAATTTCCAAATTTTTACAGAAGAATTGGAGGAAAATAGTCTCACCAATGGCCAGATTACTCAGAAAACAACTACTCAAAAGTCAGGTTTCTGGATTAAAATGATTTAGCTTTTAGAGTCTTTTTTTGAGACAGGGGTCTCACTATGTAGTTCAGACTATCTTTGAGCTCACTATGTAGCTCAGGCTGGCCTTGAGTTTGCGGCAATCCTGCTGCCTCAGCCTCCCAAGTGCTAGGATTACAGGTGTGCACCACCATGCCAAGTGAATTCTTTATGATTGTTAATGGTGGTATGGCTATTGTATTTAGTAAATATTTGCTATACGTTAATATTTGGTTTTGTGTCTAAATTTTAATTATAGATCTCTTTTTTATGGTTAAGTGTGGTACAGTGGTAGCTTCCACTGGTGCTTACCGTTTATCAATACCCAGTTTGTCTTTGATTCTATTAATATTGTTGTTGACTTTGTTGCTACTGCTAGGGTGGCATACTTGTTGCTATTAATTAGTTTTTACTAAATGCCAGTATCTGGTTTGTCTTTGTGTCAAACCAGATACTGAGGTTCAGGCTGGGGATATAGCTTAGTGGCATATGTGCCTGTCTGGCAAACACAAGGTCCTGAGTTCAACTCCCAGTACCAAAAAACAAAAACAAAAACAAAACAAAACAAAAACCCAAAAATTAACACTGAGGTTGATTTCCAAAGAACTAGGTGCGGGCCAGGGATATAGTTCAGCAGCACAAGCGCCTGCCTGGCAAGTGCAAGGTCCTGAGTTCGATTTCTGGTACAAAAAAAACCAAAAAAAGAAAACAAACAAAAAAAAACCAAATCAAAGAACTGGGTGCTGGGCCAATTACACTGCACCTTACTCTCTCAAATTAACAAAGGAGGTTGAATCCTGCGACAGAAGCAATGGCCTATAGTTAGCCATGCCCAGAGCGCTCTACTGAAAAGCACACACGGACTACAGAGATCTCCATACCAGCAACAAAGTCTTTCCACTGTAATTGACCTGCAACCCTAGCACAAAGAAAAAAGAAGGGAAAAAGAGAGAGAGAGAGAGAGAGAAGATAAGGCAAGGAAATGCTTCCAAAGATTTCCAACTCCCTCATAACTCACCCAAGGGATATCAATGAGGAGAAATTGAAAAGCTAAATAGCTGAGTTATATGAAATGATAAAAGAGGAGACAAAAAGATCAATAAGGTACTCAAAAAGCTCAGAGATGATATAACAAAATAGATAATGGACTTAATAAAATGATCAATAAGCTTACAGAAGACACTAATAAAAAGCTAGCTGACCTAAACAGAATGATAGAAAACATGAATGACCAGTTTAGCAAAGAATTAGTCATAAAAAGGTACCAAACAGAAGTCCAGGAAATAACAAAAGTTCTACTGAAACTACAGACAGCAAAAGTGACCAATGTGAGGACAGAGAATCAGAACTGGACAACAGGGCTGATGCAGAGAACATATATAGTAAGGTACCTTAAAAATGAGATTGTAGACAAACAACTCCACCGCTGCTAGGTGATTCAAGAAGACTAAGATTAATTGCACTGGTGGGAAAAAAAAAAACAGAAGACAGTACAAATGGCACAAAAACCCTGTTTACAAAATAATAGCAGAAAACTCCAAATATGGGGAAAGAAATTAACACACAGAAACAGTGAAAGTGTAGAACCCCAAATAGTTATAATCAGTGAAGAACTTCTCCACAACACATAATAGTAAAAATCTCAGAAGTCCAACACAAGGACAAAATCTTAAAAGCTATTAGAGAAAACCAAAAAATCACTTGTAAGTGTAAACCTGACAGACGTGGTGGCACATGACTGTAATCTCAGCACCTGGGAGGCTGAGGCAGAGTTTGAGGCCAGCCTGGGCTACATAGTGAAACCCTGCTTCAAAAAACCAAAAATAAATATATAAATAAATAAACAATTAAAAATAAATAAATGACCTCTTGTTTGTTTTTGAGACAAGGTCTCACTGTGTAGTTTGGCCTGCCTTGAACTCATTATGTAGCCTAGGCTGTCCTCAAACTCACAGCAATCTTCCTGCCTCATCACTCTAAATGTTGGGATTACAGGCACGCACCATCATGCATGCATAAATAAATAAATAAAAGTAAATCCATTAGAATTACAGCAGACTTCTCAAAACAAATTTTAAAGGCCAAAAGAGCTTGCAGTGATGTTTTTCAAGCCATAAATTAAGAAAACAACTTTCAACCTACACTGATATAACCTGCAGAACTATCTTTCAAAAGTA